ACATGGTGAAGCCAGCCATTCCTGTGTCCTTCCCTTCAGGGCAGCAAGTTCTCTCCAACCCCAGCCAGCTCCATAGGTGCGACCAAGAAGCCAGGAACTAGAATCAAAATCCTTAGGAGTTTACATGGTTTTCTATTGTGCTGCAGCTGATATGGCCTTCAAATCATAAGATGCAGTCCTCACTCTTCCTTCTTGTTTCTAAATGTAAAGAAACCTCACCATGGTGACCACCTCAGAGCCATGGACAGTACTGCCAGGCTACCACCAACATTCCCTTAAGGCCCAAGGGCTCTTTAATCAGCTTGTGGCAGATGCTGACTGGCCTGGGACTCATCCCTCATGGAAGTGGGCTCTACTCTTGCCTAGGGAGGGTCCAGAAATGCCATCCAAGAGCCAAGGACTTAAATTGGGGAATCCAAGACCCTGCTTGGTGCTTTATTTCACTATGACTAAGCTGGTTCCTAAGGTGGATGAAAAAGTCTGCTTTACTTTTCCCACCACTTTTCTCAAGTGGGAATATTTCAGATTGAAATACATTATGGAATCTAAGAGGAAAAGGGTACTCTAAGAAAGACACAGGAATTAGGTGGTGGAAAGTTGTGATATCTTTACTCATTTCCAAATATTTCCAGAAAATATAAGTATTTTATATACTATCTTGAAGAAGTTTGTATAGGGTAAATATTTTGAAGCTTCTCAATAGAAATGTTTACCAATTTAAATTGAAGAATACAAGAATGTAAACTTCTAGAAAAACATTTAATCATTTTAGTAAAACTAAAAGTGATATGCTTTTCTCTTGTTCTAGTATTTACTTTCCTTCTTCATATCACTGCTGCAGTTAATGTTATAGTCTCTGGGTAGGACACTAATGGTTTTCTGAACTAGGCATTATATCTGATTTTGATGTTACCACATGGCATGCATTGGTCAAAGGAATTGGTGCACATATTCTAAGTTATTGTAGTATTCACACTTAATTCTAAAATTTGCATCCAAATATTGTGGATGCAGTGATCTTCCTATTGTTATTTAAAATTAATTAAATAATTTAATTTCTATAACACTTCATTAAATTCACTTTAAATATATGTATCTTACAGAGAAGGAATAGGCATACAGGAATTGTTCATGGCTAATATGTATGTAATCTGAAATCCAAACCTTCATAATTTTCCTAAAGAATTTCTCATTTAAATATTAAGACTGACAGAATATAAAAGAAAGAAGAATGAGAAAAGAAAAAAGAAATAAGGAAAGAAAAAAGGAAGAAAGAAAGATAAAAAAAGTAGGGGTAAAGAAAAGGAAGAAAGCATGAAGGAAAAAAGAAAGGAAGAGAAACAGGAATTTTTAAAAGAAAAATGTGTTAAAAACAGCACATAGGAAATGTCTTTTAAATAATGCCAAATCACTGAAGAACTAGACATTCAATTAATATCAATACTATTGAAGAAGGTCAAACTTATAAACACATTGGTCCACACCAAATTCAACTGTAACTTTTATTAGTAACATTCAGTTTGCTTTTATAAATGGTTTAAATGTTTTGGGTCAGAGTTAGATACAAAAAATTTAAAAGAAAGGAACATGAATTTGAGCAAAGAACAATGCCCTGAGTTTGAGACCTAGAACTGACTGAGTTGCAGACGATGCTATAGGTAAGAGAAGAACATCAACATTTTAGAGCAAAGACATGAAAAAGAAAAATTAAGCTTTTCATTCAGCAGAGTAACAGACAGTCCCTCAGGCAGGAATAAGCATTTTCCTGGCTTATTTGCAGATGCTAAAAATGTACATGGTGACATGATCAAAGAAGGGACAATTGTGACACACTGACTCTTGAAGGTACAGATAACAGTGGAGAAAACATGAGAATAATGCATCTTTCATGTACTCTCAGGAACATAAGTCGTCACTTTGTACTGCAGTAACTGACTCACTTATCTGGCAGCTTCAATGTGTCATGCTAAAATGGCAACAGAGAAATATGTCTCCAAACATTTTTATTTGCTAGTGAGGAAAAAGGGTTACAGTCTGGGATGCACAGCTATGACAGGCTACAGGTGTCTGAGGGGAGGAGAGCAGAGGGAAGCTCTTCTTGGCGAAAGAGAGAAGTTCAAGTAGCCTGCATGAAAACAAAGGTGATTGGTTTGGAGGCTCAAAGCAAGAGTCAGTTTATTGGCAGAGACCCTGTTTCTGGGCAAGTTTGTTTCTGAGAGCCTCTGTCCTGAGTTGGTGCAGCCTTAAGGAATGTCTAGCTATACAGCTTGTCATACAAATACGTGTATTCATGCAAAACCAGCAGCTTGTACAAAACATGGCTGTAGGAAGGAATTTCTTTGGGGTTTTGTTTAGAAAGTTTTTGAGACAGTTGTCTCAGACATGTAATCATGAGCTCCCCTCCTTTGTGAGAGCCCAGCTCCCATTTGCCTGTGTCTTTCAAGAGTGACTGCATCTTGGTGTCTTTAACTTTCATAAGACGGCATAAAATAGACCCATCAAGGGCAGGGATTTTGTCTCATTCTCAACTTATTTCCAACAGCTAGTATGGTACATGGTTACTACATTTCTATTTCTAAAGAGTTGGTGAAAGAGCACGTGATTAAAACTAATATGAACAGAGTTCATAAAACAAGAAATGAAGAGGAAAAAAGTATAAGGGGGAAGACATTCTTATTAAATATAAAATTATATACATGTAGCAATATTCCTGAAAAAAGTACAAGTGTTTCAGACATTTTTTATAGATGGTCCAGAGATGCGACCCGTTCTGTAACGATGTTTAAGGTTAATGACTGACGTTTCTAGGCCTGCTTCCTACTCAATCAAATGAAGACGCTGGACTGAATTTACGTTTTCTCCAGCTCGAAGTCCCTCTGATTTCATCATTCATTTGCTAAGTATCACTTTGATGAGTCTGAAATATAATGACTTTGAAAGAACCCCACCTCCTAAACACAAATTTCCATGTATTCATGGCTAATCTTCAAAAGTCATGTGGGCAAATTAGCAATTCAGAAAAAGAAATTAAGAAGACAATTTCATTTGCAATAGCATCAAAATGCATAAAGTACTTAGAAATAGTCTTAACCAGAGACGTGAAAGTTCTGTAAAGTGAAAACTGCAAAACATTGTTAAAAGAAATTAAAGATGCAAATAAATGAAGACACCCGCGGTCACAGATTGAAAGATTGACTATTGTTAAGATGTCAGTATTATCCAAAACAATCTAATATTTAATGCAATCTCTATCAAAATCCCAATGGCATATCCTTTTTTTTTTGAAACAGAAAAATCCATCTGAAATTATATGTAAAATTCTTTATTTTTTGTTAGATACAGGGTCTCCCTATGTTGCCCAAGATGGTTTTGAACCCTTGGACTCATGGGATCATTCTACCTTGGCCTCCCAAAGTGCTAGGATTACAAACATGAGCCACTATGCCCAGTCCCTAAATTGTGCATAAAATCTCAAGGATTTCTGAGAAGCCAAAACAAACTTAAAAAGAAATAACATTGAGGCCACACAATTCTGGATTCAAAACTTATTACAAAGCTTTAGTAACTAAATTGTGGGGTACTGACATAAACACATACATGAAGGGAAACATCACACACTGGGGCCTGGGGTTTGGGGGACTAGGGGAGGAATAGCAGGGGGTGGGGGTATTGGGGAGGGATAGCATTAGGAGAAATACCTAATGTAGATGACGGGGCAGTGGATGAAGCAAACCACCATGGCATGTGTACACCTATGTAACAAACCTGCAGGATCTGCACATGAACCCCAGAACTTATAATAATAAAAAAAACAACAAATGAAAAAAGTAAAAACCCCAGAAATAAACCATTGCATATACAGTAAGAAATTTTTTCTGACAAGAGTGCCAAGAATATTCATTCAATAGAGAAAGGACAGTCTTTTTTACCATACCATGTTGGAAAAACTGGATACCACATACAAAAGAAAGAAGTTACATCCTGGCCTTAACATACAAAATGTAACTCAAAATGAATCAAATATCTAAACGTAAAAGCTACAACTACTACATTATAACAAAAGTACAGGGAAACAAACTTTATGACACTGGATGCAATAATTTCGTGAATATCACTCCCAAATTACAGATGACATAAGAAATAAGAGCTAAATCAAACTACATGAAAATGAAAAAACTTTCATGAGTCAAAGAACATCATCAACAGCTGAAAAGGCAACCTATAAAAAGGGAAAAATTTTTCAAATCTTATATCGTTGAAGGGTTGATATCTAAGATGTGTAACTGGCTTCTATGACTCATCATCAACAACAACAACAAACCTGGTTCAAAAATGAAGATGGACAAAAGTTAAGAGACATTTCTTGAAAACAAATATACAAATACCCAATAAGCACATGAACAATGCTCAGCATTACTGAACATTAAGGAAATGAGATACAAAACCACAGTGAGATAACACTCCACACCTATTATGGTGGCTACTATCAAAAAAACTCAGAACACATCAAGTGTTGATAAAGATATGAAGAAATTTGAACCCTTGTGCACCGTTGGTGAGAATGTAAAATTGTGCTGCTGCTATAAAAAATAGTTACTGTGGTTCTTCACAATGTTAAGTATAGAATTACCACATGATCCAGCAGTTTCTCTTCTGAGTATATACCCATAGGAATTAAATGCAGGGTCTTGAAGAGACCTTTTCACATTTTTACATCCGTGATCATGGCTGAATTCACAATAGCTAAAATGCTGAAGCAACTCAAGTCCTACGCTTTAGATATAGTTTGGCCTCACCAAGTCATCTGTTGAAATTTGACCCCCTTTGTTGGAGACAGGGCCTCCTGGGAAGTTCTAGCTGTGGGGGATGGATCCCTTATTAATAGCTTAGAGCCGTCCTCCTAGTAATGTGTAAATTCTCCCTCTGTGAGCTCCCTCAAGAACTACTTGTTAAAAAAAGCCCAGCACTCCCCCCGTCTCATTTCCTTCCTCTCTTGACAGGTGATGCTTACTCCTCCTCACCTTCTGCCATGAGCGGAAGCTTCCTGAAACCCTCATCAGACATAGATGCTGATACTATGTCTCTTGCGCAGCCTGCTGAACCGTGAGCCAGATAAAATTATTTTCTTTATAAATTACCCAGCCTTGGGTATTTCCTAATAGCAACACAAATGAACGAAGACACCTAGTGTCCATTAATGGAAAAATGGATAAAAAAATGAAGGTAATATGTATATGGTACATACATACATACAATGGAATATTATTCAGCCTTCTCAAGGAAGAAAATTTTGACACATGCTACAATAGGAATAAACTTTGTGGACATCATGCTAAGTGAAATTAACTAATGTCATAAAATAATGCCATAAACTAATTATTCCATTACCGTAAGTACTCAGAGTAGTCAAATCCATAGAGAAAGTAGAACAGTGGTTGCCAGGGACTAGGAGAAGAGGAGAACATGGAGTTTTTTAATGCAATTCCACATTTCAGTTTTTTGAGAGGCAAGGGGTTCTTGAGGTTGTTTGCACAACAACGTGAATACATTTAGTCAATGGAACTGTACATTTTAAAGTATTTGAGATGATACACTTTAGTTCTGTGTGACAATTTAAAATAATTTAAAATTCTAATTAAAAAAGAGCTGTGCGAGCCATTTTTCTACCTTCCCTGTTAGTTGCCTGCATTTTTGACAAATCCAAAGATAATTTTATATTAGGTAAGTAGTTTCTCTCTATGTGTACCTTGGTGCCAGTGGCAATCTTCTCACACTGTCGTGACCTCTTTCCAGTTTATGCTTTGCATAGCACATGGTAGCTTGAGTTCAGGGTGACATTTTTTGAACTGCTCAATCACTTTTTCTGTTTGAAGTGTGGGCTCACTCTGGGAAGACATGCGAACACTGCGGGTATGTAATTGCTCATTTATCTTCTCTGCGCATGACCAAGACAAAGGCAGCTCTTTTATGAACACAAGACAGAGACTGGGCAGTCAGGTTCTGTGTGGGGTCTCTGCATTGTCTTGTCTTGAATTGACAGATGAAGGTCATAAATTAGGTTCCCTGAACAAAAGTTAGGGTTTCAGTCAAAGCTCTCCAAAGGACATCACTGAGTAAAGAATTTGGAAACTTCTGAGGAATCCCATTTGGTTTATATTATTGATAAGGTTACTTCAGAATGCGCTTCTCTGGTAAAAACTGGGCAACTCTAGTCTCTTTCTGTTTATCTGTCCTTTTTCATTGGTATTAGTCTTAACAACAGCACCCTTGACATCTGGCTTGATTTTCTCTTCCCTAAGATGCAAGTTGCTCACCTACACAGAGTTTCTTCCTGCTCTTCCCCTGCTGGTGCCCACAATTAGATGGTCTTGGCCCCAGTTGTGGAGTTGCAAGTGAGACCTTTCCCTGGGTGAATTTGCCAGCCAGTGCAGTGAGATAAAATATTCTGAGGGTTAATCTCTCGTCCTAATGAAGTAAGTTTTAACATTAAAATTCTAATAATGCTTATTTTTCCACTTAATAGACTTCATGACTGTAAAAATCTTTCTGAGGTTTTCAAAAGGAAGAGCTGCTAACAAGTAAATCTGGTAGAAGATATGTTTTCTAGCTGAGGTCTCACATCTGTTTATATACCTCACAGGGCCACCTCAGCATCTCTAAATGAGTAATTAGCACTTTCCCTGCTATTTACAATAATGGAAACCCTAACTATAAAAGGCCAAATTTTGGGAACAGTTCATATTACAGTCTAAGCTTTGTTTTGAAAAGCTTTATTCTTTAATGTGCACAGGTCTATAAAGAAATTCATTGCTCTCATATCCAGAATGCACAGATTAGTGGAAAAACAAGACCAAAAGAAAATTAAGTTCAATTATTTTTCTTCATATGGGTGGCATTTGTTGTAAAATTAAGTGCATTCTTGAACATTTATGGTTATAACTTAATACATTTACAACTAATAAATATATGTCATACTTGATTCTTTTATTAAGCAAATTTTTTTTCAGATTTCCATCTAAAAACATTTCCTATACACTTAGCAAAGACAGTATGTTTATTTTATATACTGCATATAAATTCAGAAAACCTATATTATAAAAATAAAGATGACACATGATTTTTCAAAAAAAACTTACTTATTTGAAAGTTATTAGCATGTTACATATTTTCATTAACTAGGTAGGACTGTCCAGACAAGCTCTTTTACTCATTCATTTAAAACCAAAATTTGGGCAGGGTAATGTGGGTCATGCCTGTAATCCCAGCATTTTGGGAGGCTGACATAAGTGGATCCCTTGAGCCCAGGAGTTTGCAACCAGCATGGGCAACACAGTAAGATCCCATTTCTACAAAAATATATCTTTTTAAAACTTAGCTGAGCATGGTGGCATGTGTTTGTTCTCCCAGCTCCTGAGGGAGGTTACGTGGGGAGAATCACTCGAGCCTGGGAGGTTGAGGCAAATGAACTCTGATTGTGTAGTTTGAAAAAAAATTAAAATTAAAATAAAAACAAAATTTACTCAGCACAAATCACGTACAGAAATTATATTAGGAGAAAAGTAAAACTGTATATTTGATTTTCAGCCAGAAGTCTGCCTATCATATTTCACTGAAATAGAATTAAATAAATTTATCTTCCAGTTCATTTTTTTAACTTTAAATCCATCATTATGGTTTATCAACATATTATTGCAATGTAGTATACGTTGAACATCCTTATTAAATATTTCAAAATATGTTAGGATTTTAGATTGCAGAGACATGTAATGATATAATCTTTTTTTTAATTGTAAGTTCTGGGGTACATGTGCAGATCTTGCAGGATTGTTGCATAGGTACACACATGCCATGGTGGTTTGCTGTCTCCATATTTAGAATATTTTCTTGAAACAATATAAATTTTACTTTATAAAATTTTACTAATTTTACTTCAGCAAAAACCTTATGGCATTTGCTCCTCATTAAGAACCATGGAGACACAGCATGTTACCATCCCCATCTTACAGATGTGGGAACCGCGGCAGCACAGCGTGGTGGAGTGATGCTCCCAAGATTAGAAAATGGTAGAACCCTGTCCTTTCAGTGCTAGAAGCTGTGCTGCCTGTATAAGCAGGAGCTAGAAAAGAAAGGATGCAGGCAGCAGTTGTCTAGATAAAATAAAAAGAAAACTTGAAGTCCCGAAGATGGGAAAAATCACTACTCTTTAAATACAATTAATTAGTCATGTGAGAAAGAACTGTAGATGTAAGCCAGTACAGATACATAGAATCTTGTAAACTACATTAAGAAGATTCAATTTTAGCTTCACAGCCATGGAGTTTACAGACAGAACATTTTTCTGCACTCTGAGAGTTGAAAAGAAAATGTGACGTAATTATACTTCATTAAAAAGCAATATTTCTCTGCTACTCTTTGAAAAGATTTAGGAGGAGGGCAAGACTATGAGTATTGAGCATGTTTGGTGAAACAGGTCTCAGTTAACCAGGTGTGAGAGTATGGCAGAGTCAACCACAGAAATAAATTTAAAAAGGAGGAAGAATATAGGTGCAATAATTTCCATAAGTGATGTTTAAGAACTTGGCAATAAATCAGTAGGGAATGAGGGAGGGAATGAGCAGCAAAAGATGACTCTCCTTTTATACTTTGGGAAACTTAGTAATGAAGAGATGCAGGAAGAACAAAATGTTGGGATAGTCAGAAAAATAGTGTATTACATAATTTGGCCTTAGTTAAATTTGAAGTAACTGGCATACACTTTGCTGAAGAGGTTGAATATGTTGTTGATGTTCAAGTGTGTAAGAGTTTACACACACACACACACACGCTCACTAAGGTGAGGTATTGCTCTTTTATGGGGGGTTTGCTATGGAGAAACAGTTTAAAGTAAACAATAAGAGCTTATATTCTGGTTCATTCAGACTTGAGTTCTAATTACAGGTAAGTTACTTTGGCAAGTTATTCAAATGCTTATCTGTATAATATTATGTTAGCGAATACTTTATAGTGTTCAAGTAAGAATAGGAATAGATGCTTTATATAAAGTGTTTTATACAGAATTTGGCTTGAATTATATAGTGAACATTGATATTATTATTATCATAATTATTATCTTATAAAAGAAATAAAACCAGGGTTTAGCAGGTTTCCAAAGTCACTCAGAAAGTAAGTCACGAGGAAAATACTTGAATTCATATTTGTCTGAAGTCAGTGTATACATTATAACTTTGTTCTGCTCTGGATTAATACTATTTAGAGATCAATTACAATATAAGGCCTTGGAGCTGTTGTGTTTGGCAAAGAATGTACTGTAGAAATAAAAATAATCCCAGGACAGAAATCTAAGGAATACCAAAATTTGGGAGATGATAAGAGAAAAAGAAATACACAGCAATTTTATAAGTAGTAATGAAAACAGTGTATCAACAACTATATATAAGGAAATCTAGTATCTCCAAAGATAAGAGAGTGCTTTGTCTGGAACGGACATGTCATCAGTGTCAGAAGTGACTGAGGTGACAAGTACAATATGGTTTGAGCAGCGTCCTTTGTGCTTAAGCAAGGTTTTTGCTAATTTGGAAGAAATGCTAAAGGATATCAAAAATTGGGAACCAAACGCTTTCTGAGTAATAATACAGTACTTGAAAGCAATACTGTCTATTATTTGATAACAGAATTTTTGTCAAGTAGCCGATTTTTAATTACCATGGGGAGAGAGCACCTGAAATATGAGTATTCACATGTCCAAGAGTAAGTCCAACAGTTTTATTAACAAAAGCATGAAAATGCTAATGCTTCCCTCTTATTATAAAGCTTCTAATGAAAAACTAAAAATAAAATAACAAGACTTAATTCCAGTGATAATGACTGAACCTAGAATGAGACATAGTGATATCACATTTCCAATTCACATTTCTACAAATTAATATTGCATATTTGCAGCCCTCTTCAGGAATTGAGTGGCTCAACTTAATTGACTTTATTGTAATGCATTTTATGTATTCAGAACTTCAGATGGCCATTTCACTACACTTAAACACTGTTGTTAAAATACAAAACACTTTAAAAATATCCTTTATGGGATTAATTTTCTAGGTAATAGATTGGCACTCTTGGATCGCGAAACTATAATTTATGTACTGGATTTTCACATCTTTGTCAATCTTGCTTTGTGGCCTCATCAAAGCTTATTTGCTCCTTACCAGAGGCTATCATCTTCAGTGGAAGATATTGATTCTTCCTCACAAGAAATCTGAATTCTAAGTGAAATAGTTTCCCTGTTTTACAGTCCTCTGACTGACTGTGTTTCAGATATTTCTGTGGACAAGAGTCTGGGACTGTTGTTATGATCATCATTCAGTGTAAGTTTTTGTAAAGCTGCATGTCTAACTTACTGCTGAAGAAATGTGATTAGATCAATAAGACTAGCATGGCAGATGTTTAAAAGTAATTCAAATTGACATTTTTAAGATAAGCTTTATTTTCAGGATACTCTTAGATTTGTGGAAAAATTGAGTGGATGATGCAGAGTTTCCTTATGCCCTATGCCCAGTTGCCCCTATTAAAATAGTACATTAGTGTGATATATTTGTTACATATAATTGCCCAAAATTGACACATGTTATTTATTTTTTTAGGGGGGTTTGGGGGTTTATTAAGTGATGCTTTAGTCCCAGTCTCTGCCAGCAACTGGGGTTGGGGTGACCCCACTCACCCCAGGACTTCCCAGACTTGCTATTTTAGAGGAAAAAGGCAGGAAGCCAGCTATCCTCCAAACCACAGTTTGGGAAGGCAGGCTAGTACTGGGGTGGGGGCAGCAGAGCTGATACCCTCCAACCCCAGCCCCCAGCCTGTGCTATCCTCCCAGCCAGAGGGGGAGGATCTGAGCCTGAGCGGGAGGAGCTGAGGCAATCCTGGCCACAGCCTCCTACACAAGACCCTGCTCTTGGTAGATACATGTTATTAATAAAAGCATATATTCTATTAAGATTTATTTAGGTTTTACCCAGTGGTCGTTTTGTTTCAGGATGCCTTCCAGGTGGCCATATTCCATGGAGTCATAATGTCCCCTTAAGCTCTTTGTGACTGGCAGTTTCTCTGACTTCCCTTATTTTTAATAACCATGGCAGTTTTGGGAATTAGGAGGTCAAAATTTGAGGTACTTTTAAGAATGTAATCAATGGTATTTTTCTGATATTTTCTTCATGATTATACTGAGGTTATGTGGTTTTGAAAAGAAGACCACAGAAATGACGTGCCACTTTCATGACATTATATGAAGGGTGCATGCTAACAACATGACATTCTTGTGGATTTTGACGTCGAGGTAGTATTATTAGATGTATCCACCCTAAATTTACTCTTTTTCTCTGCTCTTTTTTATTGCTATACAGTTGACCCTTGATACCATTGGTTCTGCATCCATGAATTTAACCAAATGTAGATCAAAAATATCCCCCAAAACCCCAAAATAAAGGACGGTTGTCTCTGTACTGAACATGTACAGTTTTTCTTTGCCATTTTCCCTAAACAATGTGGTATAACAACTATTTACGCAGGCTTCACATTGTATTATGTACTGTAAGTAATCTAGAGAGGATTTAGACTATTGCAGAAGATGTGTTTGGGTTATACACAAATAGTATACTGTTTTATATACAGGACTTAAGGGTCTGTGGACTTTGGATCTACAGGGAACCAGTCCCGAGTGGACACTAAAGTATGACTGTATTTTCTGAAGGAAAATCAGTAGGAGATGCACACACTTAATTTGGAAGCTATGTTTGACCTTGAATGCTAGAATTCTCCAGGGTAGAAACTTGTCTCATTTTTTCTTATATGTTATGTGTCTAATAATTTATTTATGTCAGTATAAACTGATATATTTATATTTAACATTTTGGTTTTGA